ACACTATAGTTCCATATTCTTCCAGTACAAGCTGATACGACCAAACTACAGATCCGATAATCCATCAGATTACACACAGTCTCCGTAACACATTTTGTAAAATTCGAATTTCGTTGTCAGTGGGATTTGAACTCTTGTTCTGCTGCTTGGGAGTGTGACAACTTACCAACTTCACTAAGTCGCCACACCCTTTTCTTAAAATTTTATTAAATAAATCGATTTGCATATTAAATAAAAAATGTTCTTTTATTCAAAATAGCCCTAGTTTCATAGAACCAAATTAGTGATTATCTTAATAAAATTTTGAAAAAATAGCCTCTGAAACTATAACTCTTCAAATTTTAACTATTTATAAATAATTTCAAATCAAATCAAATATTTGATCTTACAATTTGAATTTGATTTGATTTGAAAATCTATATTTGAATTCAAATATTTGAATCAAATCAAATCAAATCAAATGCGAAACCCTACTGTAAACCTACCACGGTTTGGTTAATTAAAAATGTTGAAAAAGCAATTTTGTTTATATATAACTATCTAAAACCTATTCTAACCCTAATATAAGATGAATCTAACTCTAAAGTTAATATAGAATCTGATTCGCTTTAGACGTCCCTATATATATAGAGTTGATAATGAAATCGATGTTTGTATTTTCGATAAAGATTATTAGTGAGATTTGCCAATGAGCGAGGACCTGAACAATATTAGTAAGGTTAATTAGCATAAATTCTTAAATTTGATTGGTTAAAAAATTTTTAACCAATCAAATTTGTTAATTTTGTAAAATTTAGCGTTAGCGATTGTTCAAATATGACCTGTTAGTATTGTTCGGAGTCCTATTTCGCGATTTAAACCACCCCCCTTGCAGATATTTTGGCATCTCGGATAAGTCACGCCATGCTTTGTAATGCCAAAATAGAAACAATTCTGCAGTTGTTATACGTATTAACAAGTAATAGGCAAGATTGATATAATACGCACCATAGAAATATCCTTACGTATAAACCATTAGGTTTTTGACCGGTTCCAATTGGTCCTGAGGTAATTTAATAAATGACTAGTCCCTGAGAAGTATAATCGCTTATCGCAAATAAGTAATACTTTGAAAACTTCCTGGGAAGAAACTTTAATAACTTTTTTTAAAAAAAATCATCTTAAAAACTGGCAATTTGCTAATCAAATCGGTCCTAGGACTGATTTGATTAGCATCGGTCCCAAGCAAATTGCCAGTTTTTAAAATGATTTTTTTTATTAATAAAGTTTCTTCCCGGGAAGTTTTCAAGGTAGGGTTACTTATTGGCGATAAGCAATTATACTTCTCTGGGACTAGTAATTTATTAAAGTATCTCTGGACCGATTTGGACCGATTAACAGCCCTACAGGTGAGATACGGTAAAAAAATTTAAGATACAAAATTTATATTTAGATAAATAAAATTTTTAATATTTCAAAAATACGAAATTTAGGTACTGTGATGAATAGGAAATACCAGTTGGTACAAACAAAAACTCAAATCCCTACAACATAAATAACGTCAAATTAGAATCATTTTTGTTTACTCAAAAGATTATAATTTATTACATTTCTAAAATTCTACATTAAATAATAAAGTTTTGGCTATAGAAGTATTCTGAAATAATTTAATAATTTAAATAGATAAAAATATGTATTAAAGTAAATCTATTATTCAACAAAATGTTCGCTTAGCCAACGTTCGCATTCCAATGCAGCCATACATCCAGATCCAGCACTCGTAATAGCCTGCCTATATTTTTTATCCTGAACGTCACCCGCAGCGAAAACACCTTCTACACTTGTACATGTACTATCTGGTTTTGTAATAATGTAACCATCTTCATCTAAATCCAATTTTCCCTTAACTAAATCGGTAGCCGGCGCATGGCCAATAGCATAAAACAAACCATTTACAGGTAGCTCTTTAATTTCAGCATTTTTGGTATCCTTGGTCACCAAACTATTAAGTAGTTCTCCATTACCTTTGCATTCGATAGGAATAGTGTTCCATAACACAGTAATTTTTGGATTAGAAAGCAATCGATTTGCCATAACTTTTGAAGCACGAAGCTTGTCTCGACGAACTAATACATAAACGTGA